GTATAAATCATCCCACCGAAGCATGATGACGATGATAGTAGCTAAGTGCTGCTGACCGCGTGTGTTCCACGCCTGGGCTGGGCTGGGGTATGCTGGGACACAGTGGTCCCTAAGAGAGCCTTACCCCCTGTCAGAAGGCCCCCAGTCCAGTCAATGAGACACATTATTGATCACTACAGGTTGTAATTATGAATGTCTTGGGAAAGAAATTTTGGGGGTCTTGGGATCATATTGCAAGGTGACCTGCCCTAGTCTGTGATAGAGATCAAGAAAGGCTTTCTTGATAAGGTGATTAACTCCAAAGCAAAAAGACAGGAGGGGTGTTCTTGCAGAGACATGGCCTGCGCAAGAGCCTGGCAGCAAGGAAGCCTGGGGAGAAGAGCAGAAACAGTGATGGTTAACATTTTGTGTCAACTTGACCAGGATATGGGGTGCCCGGATACTTGGCTAGATATTATTTCTGGTTGTGTCTGTGAGGGAGGGTGTTTCCAGATGATATTAGCATTTGAATCAGTAGACTGAATAAAGCAGAGTGCGGTCCCCAGGGTGGGCAGCATCATTCAATCTTTTGAAGACCTGAATAGAACACAAGCAGGGGAAGAAATAATTGATGCTCTGCCTAAGGAGCTGGGACATCAGTCTCTTGCACTCCAGACTGTAACTGTGCCACTGGCTCCCCTGGAACTACACCATTGTGCCTGAAGACTTGGACCAGGACTTAAAAACCACCAGCTTGCAGACGACAGATCATGGAACTTCTTAGACTCCATAATCTTTATAATGCATCTCTTTTTCCCCCGCTCACTCTGTATATTCTATTGGTTCTATTTCTCTTGAGAACCCTAACACAGGCAGTGGAGGGACAGAAATATGGATTAGTCATCACGTAACTATTTGGCATCAGCCATGCTTCTCTTTAGACCCGGTTCTGCCGTCCCTCAGACAAGTGACTCTACCTTTCTGAACCTCCACTTCCTCACAGGTTAGTTCCTTTTTTAGAGGGTTGTGAGAAGCCTTGCAATATATGCATGTAAGGCAGTTACCCCAGCCTGTTCCATCAAGTCCTCAGGTGTTAGCTGGGGTAGTTATGACAATTTTGAGTATAGTAATTGGTGGCACTATAACATTAAGGTCGTGGAAGCAGCAAATTGTTGAGGATTAAAAGTGTGAGCTATAAAACCAGCCTTCCTGGGTTCAAATCTTGACGCTGGCTCTTATTAGCTATGTGATCTTGGACAAGTAATTCCATTCTTTCTGATTTCCTCATGGGCGTGATAACAGTATCTGCCTGCATCAGTCAGAATAGGCTAGGTTACACTGTCATAACAAATGAGCCCTAGACATCTCCAAGTCATGGCTCAATGATTCATGTGGCACCTCTGTGCCTGCATAACTCCAATGTTCCCTAGTCAGGAATTAGAGCACAGAGCATCCTGCACTGACTTTTAAATGCTACTCTTGGGAAGTGATACTCTTAAGACTCCCATGTACACTTTATTGGCCAAGGAAGTCAACCATGCTTGAGGTCAAAGGAGTCTGGAGGATGATAAAAGACACTTGCTGTATTATCTCATTGATGCTGAAAATTCAATGAGAAAATGCACACAAAACATTTAATTAATTCAACAAAGATTTATTGAGTACCTAAGATGTGTCGGGCACTGTTCTAGGAACTGGGTACACAGAACAAGACAGACAGAAACCCTTTGAGGAGCTCATATTCTAGTGAGGGAGATAGAGAAGAAACCGGATAAATAAGTCACTATTCAGTGTTTTAGCAGGTGATGACAGACAAAGGCAGTGGAGGTGGGGGTTGTCTAGGAGGGAGAGGGAGAAGCTGGAGGCTGGACCAGGGTGGAGCTGTAAAGAGTTTAGATTCTATGGAGTCAGTAAGGTTACTGATAGGTTGGTGTGGGTGTGAAAGACAGGTCAAGGACAGCCCTGGGGAGTTTGGTCTCAGTCACTGAAGGAAGGACAGAGGTGCCATTAACCTAAACACAGAAGTGTGGGGGGGAGGTTTGGGAGGAAGGTCAGAAGCTCAGATCAGGATGAGGGATGTATGAAGCTTGAGATACTTCTATCCCACATCCTAAGACCCCCATGGAGACAGTAAATAGAATGAGGTTGTAGGAGCCTGGAGATATCTGGGCTGAAAATAGACATTTGGGTGTTGAGAGCCTAGAGATGGAATTTAAGCTGTGTGTGATGGGGGGAGATTCGCCATGGTGTGAGTGAGGAGGACCAAGGCCTAAAACGTGTAGCTGGCCAGGCAGACAGACCAGATGCTGAGTGCTCTGAGATGGCAGTGAATGTTAGGAGAAAGTACAAGTTACAAGCACGTAATTGAAAGCCTCACCCAGACTCATTCTTGGGTGGGGGTGGAGACAGGGAGGGCTTCCTGGAAGAGGTGACTCCTGAGTCACCCTCCGAAGCCTGCATAGGTATATAAACAGGCAAAAAAGGCAGGAGTATTCCAGGGAGAGGGCCCAGCCCATGCAGGGGCCTGGCTGCAACTGAGCCTGGATGAGGGCCAAGAAGCTGCTCAGTCCGGCAGGGAGGGGTCAGATTAGTCATCGTCAAAAAAGTATTGGCATCAGCCAAGCCCAGGTTCAAACCTGGTCCTGCCACCCTCTGTGACCTCAGGCAAGTGACCCTACCTATACAGCCTCTGTTTTCTTTCCTGTTAGTTCCTGCCTTATGGCCAAGGCTTATGTAGCAGATCCTTGGCCTGGCTGCAGTTGCAGGTTTTGTCTGTTGTGATCTTGTTATTTGAGCTATTATCACATTAATTATCCAAGAGACAAAAAAAAAATAAAATTAAAAGAAAAGGAAATTTAACCTCCGTGAGTTTACTATTTGTAAAGTGTAAATACTATATAGCATCCATCCCACAGGACTGTTATGAAGCCCATACAAGCTGATGTATGTAAATTGCTTAGAAGAGTGCTTGGCAATTATTTTTATCGGTATTATCGAAGAATGAGCAAGAGGCAACCACCGAGGAATCCAGGGGGGCTCCTTGAGGGAACAGGATAGCAGCTACTGTTTACTAAGTGTTTACCACTTACTTGTGATAGGGGCTAATGAGGGGGCTATGGGAACCCGTTCCCACTTTACAGATTAGAAAATCATTGCTTAGAGCCCAAGTATCCCACAGCTATTAAGGAGCAGATCCAGGATTCAAACTCAAGCTCAGCCAGCCTCCAGTAGAGACTCTAAGGGCCAGACCGCTTGGGAACCAGATTTAGCTCCTTCTGAGGAGCCCTGAAAAAGGCCTCCAAAAGGCCTTCAGATGCTGTTTCTCCTCCCAGTTTCTGCAAACATCCCCCGCCCCCCAACCCGCCCCATCACCCTATCTTGGGAACCTCTAGTCTCAAAAAACAGGCCGTGGCCAGGGGACTCTTCCTCCGTCCAGGACCCTCGTTATAGATTGGAAGACTGAGGCGATACTTTGGGCCCGTCCAGGAAAACGATTCTGGAGACCCTGAGCCAGTGGGTAAAGGTGTGCGGGTGGAAGACGCACAAGGCAGAGCTTCACAGGCAGCTAAGTCCTACCCTCAGTTTGACCTCTGTCGGCTGCTGTAGAACCCCGAAAAATCTAGTTCTTGCCACAAATGTGGGCACGTGTCCCAGGACTGTGGGCCAAAGGGAAACTCGGGGTCTCCAGGTGATGTGTGTCACGACAAAGACAGGCAGGAAAGGGGCCGAGTGCCAGGAGTGCCTTTTTCAGTGGACCGAAAACCACAACCGGGACGAAAATTCACACAACACTAGGAAGCGACTCAGTCGCGGCGATTGCCCCGGTGATTTCAGGATTCTCGTGCCCGGGAGGCCCCACTAGGGCAGGACGCGACCTCACACCTGTTTGATCTGGGCGGGGTTGGAAGCCCCAGGGCCGGAACACGCAGGGCGGACCGGCCGCACACCGCCTGTTTCGGGAGGTGAGGCCACCGCGCGCAGGCGCAGTCTCATGCCGGCTCTAGGACCGCGCGGAGGCAGGCTGGGCGGAGCCGCCGTGCCAGACCCACTGGAGACCGCCTGAGTCACCGGCCCCGCCCTACCCCGCCGGACGCGGCCAGAGGCCCGGGAGCGGCTCAGAAGAACGGACCCGCGGACAAGTGATCGAGGCGGTGAGCGCCCGACCCGGACTCCCCTGCACTCCGTAATCCCGGCCCTTGCGCCCCCCACATCCGATGAGACCCTCAAGTCCCAACCTCAGAGGTTCCTCATATTTACAGTCTCAGATTTGAGCCCCCAGACCTGTACGGCCCTCGTTATCCAGCCCTTGAGGGCTCCTCCGCCCTCCGTCTCAGAATGTAAAATACGAGCGCACGGATTTGAGGGGTACCCTGTAAATTCTAACCTGGTGGGCCTTCCCGAACTACAGTTCTAGACAAGTGTTTCTAATTCTAATGGGGACCCCATTATCCTAGGCCCCGGGCTTCACCCACGATCGTAGACCGAGCCCACAGACCCAGCGGTGACACTGTAATCCCGCTGCCGGGAGTAACTAAACCCTCACACTCACATTCTGGATTTCCTCAACTCTGGCTGGATGGCCCTAGGGGCCTCCAGCCCGAGCATCTCTGCTCAGATCCAAGCCCCTGACCCGCCCAAGACCCCTAAACCCAGTTCTGGGACTCTGGACCTCAGATTCGAGTGCCCAGACACGCCAAGGTTGCATTACACAATTTGGGGCCCCATCTTAAGAACCCTTCCCGACCAAGTCCCATGCCCTTAAGGATGCCTATGCGCACTCAGTCCAGGGTCCCTCAGGATAGACGCGGGACCCTTTGGCCCCGGAGGGGGTTTCAGACCTGATCCCCCGTCCCTAACCCATCCTTCTGAGAACTACCTTTGCCCAGAGCCCAGGCCCCATCCCAGATGGACAAGCCCCAGCCGGGGTACTCCCCAACGTCCAGCAGCCAGAAACGCGCATTTTGGTGGGGAGGGGCGGGCTCAGGGGCGAGGCGGGCCCTTGACCCCTTTTTCCCCGCAGGAATCGAGCGGCAGCCATGTTCCTGGTTAACTCATTCTTGAAGGGCGGCGGCGGCGGCGGGGGAGGCGGGGGCCTGGGCGGGGGCCTGGGGAATGTGCTCGGAGGCCTGATCAGCGGGGCCGGAGGTGGCGGAGGCGGAGGCGGCGGCGGCGGCGGCGGCGGTGGCGGCGGAACTGCCATGCGCATCTTGGGCGGGGTCATTAGCGCCATCAGGTGAGGCGGGGCTTGAATTGGGGAGGGGCCTGGCGGCAGTGGAGGGTCCTGCAGGAGAAGAATAGAGTAACCTGTACACTGACCTGAAGTCAGTTGAGCTGGTCCGGGCCTGGGCTGGGAAGCGGGTCTTGAGGGGTCGGGCCGTAATGAGGCTCATGACAGTTCCTGCGGGCCTGGCTTGACAAGCACGTAGTCTGATAAGGGGCACTGTCGGATGGGACCCGGTGGGCTTTGGGAGGTGGGGCTGGGGGGTGGGGGGCTTCCGCCATCCCGGAGACAAACGTTAAGCAGGCGCAGCGGATGAGGCTAGGTGTCACTTCATGGGGGCGAGGCCTGCCTTACCGGTGCGGCCAGGCTGGAGAAGTGGATCAATGAGGAGGTGGGCCCAGAAGAGGCGAAGGCCTAATGGGATAGGGGAAATGATCTTGAAGGAGCTGGGCCTGGCGGACAACTAGATGGATTAAAATAGAAAAATACCCTGATGGAGGTAGGGTAGGTTGTGCGTAGGGGACTAATTAACCTTGGCAGTGGTCCCTCGGAGGGGTGGGGGCTAACGGAGCTGGGGTGGGATGCTGGGATGACACAGGCATTCAGGAAGCCATAGCGATGGAGTAGTGATGGAGTAGGTTCCTAGACAGATGGGACCTGAGGAGAGTGGGGCCCAAGGAAGCAGGGGCAGAGCTTCAAAGAAGCGAGCCCTCCAAGGGGCTGGGTCTACTGAGGAATTGGCCATTGGGCAGGTGTGCCCAGGCAGGAGTAGGGTCTACCGTGGGGGTGGGCTTGTGGGTTTCCTTGCTGGCGCAACCAGGGAGGCAAAGATATGGACACGTGAGGACAAGGACAGATGGAGAGAGGTGGAGGAAACCGGAAGGGTGGCTGACTCGGGCTTGGGGGGTTGGGGCTACTCGTTGGAGGCCCTGCCCCTTGGCACTAACTACCCCCATCTTCCCTCAGTGAGGCAGCTGCGCAGTACAACCCAGAGCCCCCGGTAAGCCCCCCTGGAAAATGGGAGACTCCTCGTCTCACTCCAAGGCCTTTTCCAGCATCCATTCTTACCCCTTTGTAGAAGTCACACCCCTCTTCCTCTTATTCTTTTCATTAAGTCTCTCCTTTGCTGTGACCCTAACACAGCCATGGGTCTCAGCTACACCTACTCCCTCTTCTCCTGTCACCTCATTCCTTCAGTCACCTACCACCTAGCTCACTCTGACTTTCCCGCCTAGGGCTGTCCTGGCCAGGGCACCCCTACCCCTACTTGCTCTGAGATCTTCTCCCTCTGCAGCCCCCACGCACCCATTACTCCAACATTGAGGCCAATGAGAGTGAGGAGGTCCGGCAGTTCCGGCGGCTATTTGCCCAGCTGGCTGGAGATGTAAGTAACCCGGGGCACCGAGCCCTGTCCTAACCCTTACATGCCTTCCCTTGGGCTGCCCTTGCACACGCACACTTACCAATTGCAATCCCAAAGTCCCATCCTTCTTCCTGACACTCCTCCCTTTCTGTCACCCCTGACCCCACCCCTAACTTCTCCCCACAGGACATGGAAGTCAGTGCTACAGAACTCATGAACATTCTCAACAAGGTCGTAACCCGACGTGAGTTACTCGGGTCAACACAGGCATGTTTAGAGGCACAGGGGCTGGGGTAGCTGTGACTTTTGGCTTCTGACCTTTCAGCCTGTCCTCCACAGACCCTGATCTGAAGACTGATGGTTTTGGCATTGACACATGTCGCAGCATGGTGGCTGTCATGGATGTATCCTTGGGGGCCATTGGGGGAGGCTTTGGGAGAAGAGAAAGTTTTCTAAGAGCATGACTGGAACAGCCAGGGTGTAGCTTTCACACCTGCAGATGTACATAACACACACCCTCCTGTGGACATGTGACAATAAATTACATCAGCTGTCACAGCAGGCACCTTACTTCACAGCCACCTGTTAGGGACAATTACTGTATCCATTTTATGAGTGAAGAAACAGACTCAGAAAGAGGCATTTATCTGAAGTTATAAAGAGTTAAGTGGCAGGATGGAAATTTGGACTCAGGTCTTTTCAAGCTTATAACTGCCATGGGTATGCTTGCATACATACATACATGCACACATATACAAGGGCACATATACACCCATAAACATGAAGTAACGTGAAGGCATGTGCACAGAAAACATGTATTTGCACATGGGCCAGTTGGTAGCTGATCTAGGGTATGTGCACACTGAGCATATAGGATGATGCAGACACACACATACATACCTGTCATGTGATCACACATATATATGTGTTGCATAGAGCTATACAATCCTGGTTCTTACTCTTGGCAAGGGCAAGGTTACTGAACCTCTCTGTGCAATTTGCCTATCCATAAAATGGGGTGAATAATAGTGATACCAAATTGGTGCTACATGCAAAAGGTTTAGTAGGGCACACAGTAAGTGGTCTGTATGCATTAGTGGTTCCTATGATCTTACTCAGGTATATTTTCAGCTTTGAATCTGCTGCTTTCTCTGTCATGGGAATAATACTGGTGAGGCTGGTGTCTTGAGGGTTTAGTGAGAAAAATGTTCTGAGGAAGCTTGGCACTGTCTTGTGTGTACTAGGTAACTTGGTAAGTCTTGGCCATTATTTATTGAGAATTTATCAGATGAGCTAAGGGCTTTATCTCATTCGGTTTTTATCACAAACCTAGCAGGAATTTACTGTCATGATGTTATTTCCTTAGAGGTCTAAGATACCCTTGTTTTTTATATGTCTTAACAATAATGAAATTATAGTGTTATCAAGAATTTTGTAAGTAAGGAATTCGTTAACTATTTTTAGGTGGAGCATTTGTAGTTTGGAGAAGTTTAATATGATTCCCCATGGTAATAGTTAAAAAGAGTCCTTATTTAGAACTATAAACTTTGTATGGGTAAAAAGAAAAATAAAACCATGCCCAAGGAGACATGACTGGGTTGGGAAGGTTGCTGGGGTTTGAGCCCAGGTTCCCTTGCTTGGCCACGATCATCATCCATGCAGTGCACACATCTGGGTACAGCCATCACTCTGTCCTTAACACCCTCCTCCCAGAGCGACACCACAGGCAAGCTGGGCTTCCAGGAATTCAAGTACTTGTGGAACAACATAAAAAAGTGGCAGGTGTGTGGCAAATTCAAACTCTTAGCACAAAGACCCCCAAACCATGGATGTGCCATGCCCCACAACACACAGTTGAACCCTGACTTCCCTGTCACCACAGGCCATATACAAACAGTTTGATGTTGACCGGTCAGGGACCATTGGCAGCAGTGAGCTCCCAGGGGCCTTTGAGGCAGCAGGTGTGACTGGCAGGGACATGGTTGGGCTGGGGTTGGGACTGGAGAGGCAGCCCCCAGTGAGCTGGCCTGAGCCCGAAGCCTGGGGCTGGGAGTGGGTTGGGCTGTGTGGCCCCCGTACCTGAGAGCCTAAGCCACACCATTCTCAGGATTCCATCTGAATGAGCATCTCTACAACATGATCATCCGGCGCTACTCAGATGAGGGAGGGAACATGGATTTTGACAACTTCATCAGCTGCCTGGTCAGGCTGGACGCCATGTTCCGTAAGTGACGCTCTGTCTTTCTGGGTGGGGATTTGTCTAACCTACTTGGGTCAGGGTCTCCCCTGAGCCTGCGGTTGGCAGTGGTAGGCACACGGCAGGGTTAGGTTTGGGGTTGTCAGGGTTACTGTTAGGAGTTAGGAGGGTACATGTGAGGGGTGAAGTGGCCCTAGTGAGAGGCTGGGGACAGGCGTTGCTGAGGGAACAGCCTGTGTGAAGGCCTAGATGGGAAAGAGGAGCTGGTGCTTTGGGTGTTTTTTGTTGCACTCAGTTGAGAGTGCTGAGGCGGGGCTGGGGGAGACATAAGGCTGGGATCGTGCGGGCTGTTGTGAACATGATGTACTAAATCCTTAAGACCACCCTGGGAAGTGGGAATTACTGCCCCCCATTTTGTGGAGAAGCCTAAGGGTTCAAGGAGGTAAAACTGCTTGCTCACAGCCACTTGACTAGGAGGTTGCAGTGCCAGAATCTGAACTCGGATCTGAGAGAGTGGAATGAAAGGAGGCAGGAGCAGTGGCCATGGTCAGGCCAAGCATGTCTGCAAAGGCCAAGTTCAGGGGTGCTCAGATACTACTGGGGGCAACGCAGAGCCACAGCAGGTTCTAGGCTGGGGAGGGATAGGGTCATGTTTGGCTTTCGAAAGATCCCTGGCCTCCCGAGAGCCCAGCATTAAAAGCATGGATAGAGGAAGAGGTAGTATGTCCATGAAAGGGAGGTGGAACTAGGGCAGATGGTACCAAAAGTCATATATGAGGAGGCCCAAGAAATGGCCATTGGATCTACCAGCAAGAGGGCCAATAGAAGCTACAGCATCCAGGATACAGGATGTGGGCACCTAAGGGTGGTAACTGGGCGGTGAGCGAGAGAGAAGCAAAGACAGTGTAGGCACATGTTTGCTTAGATGTGCCTGTGAGTGGGGAACAGGGAGTCGGGTTTCAGGGCAGGAGTGGGGGCCGTGCCAGACTCCAGGGGCAGGAAGTGGAGGGTGTGGAGCTTAGAGGTTGGTGGGAGGCTGGGGCTTAGGCAGAGAGTGATGGGAGGTGGTGCAGGTCAGTAGATAGGCCAATATTGAATACGTAACAGTCTGGGTTCCAATCCCAGTTTTCACACTTTCTTGCTCTGTGACCTGGGGTACATTACTTCACTTCTCTGTGCCTTGTTTTAAAATGACACTTACCTCACAGAATTAGATTGAGTCAATACGTGGAAAGTACTTTATACAGTGCTTGACACATTGTTAAGTACTCAAAAGTACTAGCCATTATTATCATCCCATATATTAGTATAATACTTTTATCCTAAAAGCCAAATACCTCTAATCCTTCCCTCTCCCTAGGTGCCTTCAAATCTCTTGACAAAGACGGCACTGGACAAATCCAGGTGAACATCCAGGAGGTAAGAACCCCCATCCTGGGATATGGGTGCCTAGGAGGAATCCCGCCCGAGGCTCACGTACCAGCTCAGCATGGGCTCCCTTCCTCCTTTTTCCCAACAACCCTGGGTGAAGGCAGAGAAGGGCATCAAGTGTTCCTAGGTCCCCAGCTCCTCACTCTGTGCCTTCCTCTCCCCAGTGGCTGCAGCTGACTATGTATTCCTGAATGGGAACCCCGGACCCACCCCCTCGTCACCTTGCTGTAGGAGTCACCTTGGACTCTACGGTCTCCTCCAGGGCTCATCCTGTCTTCAGTCATATATTCCTGGGTCCTGCTGACCCATAGGCCTTTGCATTCTCCCAGCCCTTGGCACTCAGCTTCTAGGTCAACAGCCAGAGGCCAAAATGCCCCAACATGCCAGGCCTCAAGTTACCCCTGGCTCTATGACACTGTAACACTCCCTGCCCCAAGGGTCACCCCACTCCCAGCACACCTACTCCATAAACCTTCTCCTGCACCTGTGCCAAGCCCAACACCTGTGTTGCTCCCATGCCCTAAGGGCCCTTCTCAGTTCTAGGAAGATCACTCTAGTCCCTACACAGCCTGGCACACCCTTTTGCAGTTACTGCCCAGGCAGCTGAACTCTAGGGCATTAACAGGCCCATGCACCCCACTGCCTACTGTAATCTGCTCCCAGCCTGCCAGGCCCAGGAGGAAATAAATGCACCCCAGTTGCTGCTCTCTCTGGGGTTTACTGCTTATCCAGCTCTGTCCGGGGCAGAGGGAATCTGGTTCCTGGGGGGCAGGCTGGCGGTACTTTTGTCTGTTTCCATGTTTATCCCAGACCTGGATCTTTGTATCTTCTAGTCCTTTTCTTGTCTTTTTTCTCATACTGGATTCCAGTTGAGCTGTATCCTCATTACTGCTGAGATCCCTCACAGATCCTGTGGAGGCTGAGTCTGGGACCCAGGAGCCCAGGCAATCTGTTTCTGCTGCAAGGCTGAGGGGAGATATCAGTGCCACCCCTGGCTCTGTTCCCCAAGGCTATGTTTGCCTGTCTGTCAGCTCTTTGAATGCATCTGTCCTCACCTACCTCTGTTGTGTCATGGACTCAGCATCTTCCTTCCCACCCTCAGGCCTTTGCAGGGCCTGGGGCTTGCCATCCCTGGATACAGAGGCCCTATCCCACTGGGAATGCTGTTTGGAGTCCCTAGCCCCTCCAGGAGGCCTGAGGCAGTCACATCCTAGGAGTAGCCCTGTGCTAGCATGAGGGACTCAGGGCTGGGAGGGGCTGTCCAGAAGGCAGAGATCCTTTGTTGGTGGGAAGATGGGCGGGGGGCACACACACAGACCTGAGCTGGGCTGGGTTACCCACAAAGCCATATTTATTGATGCTTGTTCAGGTCCTGCAGACTTGGTCTCACTTCTTGTGGGGGAAGGAGGCCCAGCCAAGGCAGTACAGACTGTAGACAGTGCCTAGAGAGGAAGTTGTGGGGAATTCAGAATAGGACCCCAAACCCCATTGCCTCCGTGAACCCCATCTCAAGTTTTTAAGTACCCCTGCAGGGTCCTCAGTTTTCAGCCTGGATCCCAGCCCTTTGGGCTTCAGCTCCATTATTCCCAAAATGGACTTAAGGTCGCGGGAAGCCCCTAGCCTTGATCAGGAGCAGGCTGTCAGTGTCCTCTCCAACTCCTGTCTGGGCCCCAGATCCCCTCCTGGGACAGAAGCCCAAGCCCCAAGGTGACCCCTCTCTATTTGCCAGCCCAGACTCCAGAACTCTCGGCAGACGAGGCCAGCTCAGAATCCTGTACCTCCCTAAACCTCAGCCAGGAAACATGCCCTTGCTCCAGCTCCAGGCCAGAGGCCTCCTGCAGTTCAGGGGGAGCCCGTTTGCACTCACCCCCGAGACACAGCGTCATAGTCAGTCGGTACAGGATGTTGTCGGTTCCCCCGCCTTTCAAGTGCACTGGGAGGTCATTGTCCGCCTGAGTGTTGAAGGCGTCCCATGAGAAGGGTGCTGGCTGCTCCGTAGGCTGGATGCCTCGCCTCTCCGTGCCCACTTCAGGACTCAGCCTGCCCCGGGTCCTCTCCTCGCCCCACCCACGCCCCGCCTACCTGGAATAGTTTTTGTTTCTCAGCCACACGGTTCTCAAAGCGGTTCCGGGCGGTTGAGCTGAAGGAACGAATCAATGCCTGGGAGACCTGGCAGGGAGGGGGTGAATGGGCACTGGAGGCACCTGGAAGGGCATCCCGAACGGGGTCAGACTTGGGGCAGAGGGTGTTGAGCTCTCTGAGGGCCTATCCCCTTGGAAGCCCCTCAAAGGCAAGATCCAACTGCCAGCACGAGTAGCTGAAGGGGCCCTATTAAGAAAGGCCTAGAAGAGGAGTCGCGCCTAGAACGTGTATCAGGGGTTGCCAAGCTGTCTGTAGGGTATTGGGAGAGGAGCTGACCCATACGGGAGACCAGTTCTGCGTGTCCAAGTCCCGGGATTTGGGGGCGGGGATTTCTTGAATTAATGGGAAGAGCCCAGGTCCCTGGAATGTCGGTACTGGATCCGGGACTTTCGCACGGCCTAAGAAGTCTGGGAGAGGGGCAGGGGAGCTAAGTTCCCAGTGCCTAGGTCCCGAGGGAGCCCTTGACGAAGGGCAGAAGCCCATACTCTGGGCTCTGGGCGGTGCTAGGGGTCCCTGGCTCTCAGAAGCTCTTGGATTAGGAGGTGGGGGGCCGGAACCCTGAAGGGGGCTCTGCGTTCCAAGGCTCAGGTCCTGGGATGTTTAGGGAGTTTCGCATTGTGGCGAAGGCCTCCGGGTTGGGGACCCGGGCCCGGCCTGTGGGGGGCCCTCACCCGCAGGGCCCTCATCCTGCGTCCTCTTCTTCGGCCGGAGTCAAGTCCTTAGCCCAAGGACAGAAGGCGCCCTCCTCCCTCCCCCGGCCCGGGAGCCCCAGGCCACGCCCCCCGCGCGCCGCCGCGCGCCTGTCCCAGAGTCACCAGGCGGGGGACACCCGGCAAACCCCGCGGACGGATCCGGGCTCGTGGAAGAGCCGAGACACTGCAGCCCTGCCCCCGCGCCAAAAGGCTGGAGCGCCCATCTGTTACTCATCTGGGAATTTAAGTTGGTCCAGGTGGTGAGGGGAGGGAGTAAAGGAACTACTTTCCGGTTTGTTTCTGCGTTGATACCCGCCTACGGCAAGTTCAAGTCCGCCCCCGGGTCTGTCGGTACTCGCCGGGGCCGGCAGGTATTGGAGAGCCAGTTGTGGCGCAAATAACTGGATATTTGAATTCCTTCTTCTATCTGTATAGATCGGGAGATTGTGCCTCTGAGCCATAGTTATGGTATCTGCAAAGTGAAGACGAAGTCAGGATATTCTTCAAAAGTTTGCTGAGAGCGTTAAATGAGCCCATAAGAGAGCATAACTGAGCTAAAATTTCAACTCGGCTAGTAACTATTCGTAACTGAGCTAATGACTACACAAACAAGATTTTCACCATTTTCTAGCAGTAAGGTTTGATTAAAAAATTTTTAACAGTAACTTTGAAGATATAATAGTCTTTATTAAACGATTCATGAATTGGTTTCCCATCTAGCAAGTAGAAAGGAACTCTGGAGCTGCAGAAAAGGAAAGGTTTTTAAAGGCAGAAAGGGAGCAGAAAAAAAGGAAATTATTAGCAAAGAATGCACTGTTTTAGGCAAAGTTGCCTTCCTAAGAGGAACAAGAAGCGGATTACCTGCTAGTGTTAGCCAGGAAATCCCAGTTTGGCGGTTAAAATTTCATTCCTGGAGCAGGGGGTTGCAACTACAGTAAGGTTAGATACTAAGTCTTGGTTTACTGATAGGAGGCCTTAAGTGACTTCGTTCTGAGCCTGTGGTTTTCTTTTTAACAGGTTCCTATATCAAGTATTTTTGTATTTAATTACTTCTCATTTTATCATGGAAAATTTCAAGCATAGTGGAAAGCAGAGAAAGACATAATTAACCTCCATCTTGGACTCATCACCTGCTTTAACAATTGTCATAATTTATAATAGAGTTTTTCATGTGTCTTCCCCCACTCAACTCTTTTTTTGTTGGTGTATTTTAAAGCAAACTTCCAACATCATATTTCACATTTACATATGTATCTTTAGCAGATAAGAACTTAAAAAACCCAACAACCTACAATTTAGGGGTTGAAACTTGGATTAGACAAAAAAAAATCACTAAAAATGTTTTTCCTTTGATTAGTGGGACTGAGTGAATTTTAAATAAGCTCTGTGGATTAGACAATAACATTGTATCCGTGTTAGTTTCCTGATTTTGATAGTTGTACAGTGGTTATGCAACCATGTCCTTATTTTTAGAAAATGCATGCTAAAGTATTTGGGAGTAAAAGAGTATCCTATCTGGAAGTTCCCCTTAGATGGTAATAGAACAAAATTACATATTCATGTCTATCTAATTCTGATTCTAATGTGCAGCCAGGGTTGAGCACAGTTGCTCTAATGGTTTTAGCAAGCATTGATGATCCTGGCCTAGTCTGAAAGATTTTAACAATATCTTTTAAGAGGACTTTTATAACAATTAAATTCCCTTAACACTTTCAAACTATACTTGTAAAAATTTAATATGTTAGATTTTTCCATTTAAGAACCACAGTAGGCTATTTAACAGATGAATCTTTCCTTGATACTTCATATAAAGTTTGTGAACTTAAAATTATAACCTTATAAATGTGGCAAGTCTTATATTCTGTTAATTGTTCCAATAGGGTACATAAGCAGTAAGATTTCAACTAAGAGTAAGTCTTAGTCACTAGCTGGTTAACAAAAAAAGTTATGCTGTGGTTTGACTGTGTTACTTTTTTTTCTTTTTCCTTTTTTAATTAAAGTATTATTTAAATACTCCTTTACTTAGTATTTCTATACTCAATGCTTATTAATCAATTAAGAAATTTCCCAAGGTTAGTTGATGTTACCTACATTGTAAGATGCTCAGTGTCACACTGTCAGCTGTCATCAGGGAAATGCAAATTGAAACCACAATTAGACACCACTACAAAATTAAATTCCCTTAACACTTTCAAACTATACTTGTAAAAATTTAATATGTTAGATTTTTCCATTTAAGAACCACAGTAGGCTATTTAACAGATGAATCTTTCCTTGATACTTCATATAAAGTTTGTGAACTTAAAATTATAACCTTATAAATGTGGCAAGTCTTATATTCTGTTAATTGTTCCAATAGGGTACATAAGCAGTAAGATTTCAACTAAGAGTAAGTCTTAGTCACTAGCTGGTTAACAAAAAAAGTTATGCTGTGGTTTGACTGTGTTACTTTTTTTTCTTTTTCCTTTTTTAATTAAAGTATTATTTAAATACTCCTTTAGTATTTCTATACTCAATGCTTATTAATCAATTAAGAAATTTCCCAAGGTTAGTTGATGTTACCTACATTGTAAGATGCTCAGTGTCACACTGTCAGCTGTCATCAGGGAAATGCAAATTGAAACCACAATTAGACACCACTACAGAGCTGCTGGGTGGCCAAAATAAAAAAAATTACCCATCCCAAATGCTAATGAGGATGTGGAACAGTTGTACTTCTCATACATTGCTGGTGAAATGCAAAATGGTACAGTCACAGTAACACTTTGGGTCCAGTCAGGATATAGAAATCACCCTATAGATTAAACAGGGAATTTGAATATGAAGAATTATTAACTATGATGAAAGAATAACTATAAGATACAAGGAAACCCTATATAGTGCCCTAGAATTGAGGGAGTGTGCACAAGGAAGGAGAAGATTGGAAAGGGTTTAGACGTTGTTGGAGAAGGTGTGGTTTGGCCACTGGATAGCAGAGCAGTTTGCTGGAGCTGGTCTGGAATTGCTGGACAGACAATTGGTAAGCCAGTGGGGTGCGGGCAGGGCAGCAGGCGATTAGCAAGCCATGGAGCGGACATATCATAGGAGTCTGGGTGCTGGCAGGGGCAGACGGCTATCAGGGCCTGCAGGACATGGAGGGTGGGAGGGTGTTTGCAGCAGGTATGATTGCTTGGTGTGGTAACCTCTGGACCACAGGTGGCTGAGAGCAGCCTTGCAGAGGGAATCCAGTAGGTGACTGCATGCAGTCTAGGCAGGTGGCTCTGTGCAGGTTGAGTGGGGGTGTGTAGATGGAGTCTGGTAGGAGGCTGTGGAAAGATTACTGCCAGCTGAGGTTGGGGCAGGTTCTGTGGAAAGTCCTCACACCCACACCATCGACACTGCATACCTACCTTCACTGGAAATTGCAGGGTCCTCTTTCTCTGGCAGTGTCACTCCAGCGCCCTCTAACTGAGAAAGCTTCACAATGTGCTGTCTTTAAAGGAGAAATTTCTAGAGGAATTCCATTGTTTATCACAGAGCATACATATACTGAAGGATGCACCTCTCAGCTGGTGACTGACACAGTCCACCTCTTTGGCTACTCAGTTTCCATATGCGCCCATCTGCACACATCTGAACTCCCTTATAATAACAAAATAACTTTTTTTCTTTTTCTTTTTTACTAAAGTATCCTTGATATGCAATTTTATGATGGTTTTGCATAAACACTGTGGTTTCAGTATTCACCCATATTATCAAGTGCTCACCCCCTTTATTGCGGTCACTGTCTATCAGTGTAGTAAGATGCTTTAGAGTCATTACTTGTCTTCTCTTTGCTGTACTGCCTTCCACGTGACCTACCTATATTGTGATTGCGAGTCATAGTGTCCTTAATCCCCTTCTCCCTCCCTACCCACCCTCCCCAACCCCTCCTCTTTGGTAACACTAATCCCTTCTCAGTGTCTGTGAGTCTGCTGCTGTTTTGTTCCTTCAGTTTTGCTTTATTTTTATATTCCACAAATGAGTGAAGTCATTCGGTATTTATCTTTTTCTGCCTGGCTTATTATACTAAGCGTTAACACCCTCTAGCTCCATCCATGTTGTTGCAAATGGCAGGATTTCTTTTCTTTTTGTGGCTGAATAATATTCCATTGTGTGTAAGTACCCCATCTTTATCGATTCATCTATTGGTGGACACATAGGTTGCTTCCATATCTTAGTTATCGTAAATTGTGCTGAGATAAACATAGGGGTGCATATGTCTTTTTGAATCAGGGATCTTCAGGTAAATTCGTAGGAGTGGCATTACTGGGTCAAACAGTATTTCTATTTTTAGATTTATGAGGAACCTCCGTATTGCTTTCCACAATGGTTGAACGAATTTACATTCCCACCAACAGCGTAGGAGGGTTCCCCTTTCTCCACATTCTCACCAGTATTTGTTGTTTCTTGTCTTGTGGATGTTGGCCATCCTAACTGGTGTGAGTTGGTATCTCACTGTGGTTTTAATTTGCATTTCCCTAATAATTAGCGATGTGGAGCATCTTTTCATGTGCCTCTTGGCCATTCATATTTCTTATTTGGAGAAGTATCTGTTCAGATCCTCCGCCCATTTTTTATTCAGGTTATTTGTTTTTTGGGTGTTGAGGCATGTGAGTTCTTTATATATTTTGTATGTTAACCCCTTATTGGATAAATCGTTTATGAATATATTCTCCGATACTGTAGGATGCCTTTTTGTTCTGATGATGGTGTCATTTGCTGTATAGAAGCCTTTTAGTTTGATGTAGTCCCACTTGTTTATTTTTTATTTTTTTTCCCTTGCCTGAGGAGATGTGTTCAGGAAAAAAGTTGCTCATGTTTATATTCAAGAAGTTTTTGCCTATACTTTCTTCTAAGAGAACAACTCTATATTTTTACCTGTCCTTATATGTGAACAATGTTTCTCCAGAATGAGAAGACCCATAGTCCCAACAGGCCTTGTATCCATCACAGGTTATATTTATTACTTCTCAAATTCACTCACTGCCTCACTGAGTACTTTTACCCAAAGACTAAATTGTAAAGTTAACCTCCAATAAGAACTCACAGTTTAAAAGTAAAAAGACGGGCAAGGGAAACAAAAGCAAAAATGAACAAG